CATTGCCCAGGCTGGAGGGCAGTGGCGAAATCTCAGCTCACTGCAACCTCCATCTCCTTGGTTCAAGTGATTTCTTGCCTCAGCCTCTTGAATATCTGGGATTACAGGCATGCGACACCCTGCCTGGCTAATTTTCGTATTTTTTTTCAGTAGAGATGGGGTTTCACCCTGTTGGCCAGGCTCATCTCAAACTCCTAACCTCAGGTGATCCGCCTGCCTCAGCCTCCCAAAGTGCTGGGATTACAGGTGTGAGCCACTGCACCTGGCCCATGAGCCACTGCGCCCGGCTCCAAGGAGTTCTAAAGTTCATTCACTTCTAAACCACACGCTAACCACACCCCATGATAAAATCAAACAAAACCAAGGCAACAACTTGTGTTCCTTGGTCTTCTCTTCCAAGAAAAACTGCTCGGCCACAGGGTTGTCTACTCCTGAGCACAGAAGAACTGCTTTCCCAGGGAGGTCACCTGCATTTATTAAATGACATCGCTCACATAGTCATTGCTGTGCCAACTGACCCCTGACCCCACCCCCTCACCTGGAGAAGGTAGCAAATAAGGAACAGTGACAACTTGGACGCCTGACACCACCGACCTGGCAAGTGATTGTCAAAAACTAAGCAGAGGCAGGGAATGGTGGCTCATGCCTATAATCCCAGCACTTTGGGAGGCCAAGGCAGGTGGATCACTTGAGGTCAGGAGTTGGAGACCAGCCTGGTCAACACGGTGAAATCCTGTCTCTCCTGAAAATACAAAAATTAGCCAGGCATGGTGTTGGGTACCTGTAGTTCCAGGTACTCGGGAGGCTGAGGCAGGAGAATCACTTGAACCCCAGTGGCAGAGGTTGTAGTAAGCCGAGATAGACCCACTGCACTCCAGCCTGGGCAACAGAGCAAGACCCTGTCTCAAAAACCAAGCAAACAAAAACTACTAAACCTCTACTTAAAAATTTTTATTTATTGCCGGGCGCGGTGGCTCAAGCCTGTAATCCCAGCACTTTGGGAGGCCGAGGCGGGTGGATCACGAGGTCGAGAGATCGAGACCATCCTGGTCAACATGGTGAAACCCCGTCTCTACTAAAAGTGCAAAAAATTAGCTGGGCATGGTGGCACGTGCCTGTAATCCCAGCTACTCAGGAGGCTGAGGCAGTAGAATTGCCTGAGCCCAGGAGGCGGAGGTTGCGGTGAGCCGAGATCGCGCCATTGCACTCCAGCCTGGGTAACAAGGGCGAAACTCCATCTCAAAAAAAAAAAAAAAAAAAAAAAAAAAAAAAAATTATTTATTGATTTATTTTTTGAGACAGAGTTTTTGTTGGAAGATTGAATAAAAAAGGCTTCTGGCACCAAGCACCCAGCCTGCTCTGGGGACAGTGCCAGGTGGGGAGTTTGACTGGGGTAGTACACCTGTCTTTCATTTTTTATTATTTTTATTATTTTTATTATTATTATTATTATTTTTTTTTTTTGAGATGGAGTTTCGCTCTTGTTACCCAGGCTGGAGTGCAATGGCACGATCTCGGCTCACCGCAACCTCCGCCTCCTGGGTTCAGGCAATTCTCCTGTCTCAGCCTCCTGAGTAGCTGGGATTACAGGCATGAGCCACCATGCCCAGCTAATTTTTTGTATTTTTAGTAGAGACGGGGTTTCACCTTGTTGACCAAGATGGTCTCGATCTCTTGACCTTGTGATCCACCCGCCTCAGCCTCCCAAAGTGCTGGGATTACAGGCTTGAGCCACCGCGCCCGGCCTATTTTTATTATTTTTATTTTTATTTTTTAGACGGAGTTTCACTCTTTACCCAGGCTGGAGTGCAATGGAGCGATCTCGGCTCACCGCAACCTCTGCCTCCTGGGTTCAGGCAATTTTTTGTATTTTTAGTAGAGACGGGGTTTCACCATGTTGACCTGGATGGTCTTGATCTCTTGACCTCATGATCCACCCGCCTCTGCCTCCCAAAGTGCTGGGATTACAGACCTCTCTCTTTTTTTTTTGTAATTTTAAAAATAAAAAATGAGGCCAGGCACGTTGGCTCAAGCCTATAATCCCAGCACTTTGGGAGACCAAGGTGGGTGGATCACGAGGTCAAGAGATTGAGACCATCCTGGTCAACATGGTGAAACCCCGTCTCTACTGAAAATACAAAACATTAGCTGGGCATGGTGGCGTGTGCCTGTAATCCCAGCTGCTCAGGAGGCTGAGGCAGGAGAATTGCCTGAACCCAGGAGGCGGAGGTTGTGGTGAGCCGAGATGACTCTGGTCTCCATTTTTTCATTTCTGAAATGTTCATAATAGTTATTATGTAAAGCACTTAGGACAGTTTGTAGCATAGTAAGCCCTACATAAGGGTTAACTATTATTGATATTATTATTATTGTATCATTATTATTATTATTATTTAATTTTTTTTTGAGACGGAGTTTCACTCTTGTTACCCAGGCTGGAGTGCAATGGCGTGATCTCGGCTCACCGCAACCTCCGCCTCCTCGGTTCAGGCAATTCTCCTGCCTCAGCCTCCTGAGTAGCTGGGATTACAGGCACGTGCCACCATGCCCAGCTAATTTTTTGTATTTTTAGTAGAGGCGGGGTTTCACCATGTTGACCAGGATGGTCTCAATATCTTGACCTCATGATCCACCCACCTTGGCCTCCCAAAGTGCTGGGATTACAGGCTTGAGCCACCGCGCCTGGCCTTATTGTATCATTATTATTACTGATAAGTGTCTCGTAGGATACCCCCTAGGTGGTTTTAAGGCACTCAAGAAGCTGAGCCAAAAGAATGCTTAGAAAGCAGGAAGTCAGAAGTACATGGATGTCCTTGTGGGATACTGCATGAGACCTTGGAAAGCCCTTCATTCCCTCATCCATCAGCTACATGAATCTGTGCCAGGCACTACTCTCAGCACTGGGAAAAAGCAATGACCAGAATAGACACAATTTCCTGCTCATATGAAGCTTATATCTTAGTAGAGGAAGACTGGAAATGAACAAATAAACAAACAAATGGGGCAGGCAAACATCAGTATTCTGAAAAAATAAAAAGTCAGTATGATGGAAGCTGGGGAGCATATTAGCTTGAGAGTTGAGGGAGTCTGCTCAGAGAAGGGGACATTCTGATGCGGGAAACCTCCGGGGGAAGGCTTTCCAGCTGTGGGAACAGCTGCTGCATAGGTCCTGAGGCAGAAACACACCAGGTATATTGCAGGAAAAGAGAGGCCAGTGTGGCTGGAATATGTTGAGCCTGGAGGCAAGGAGTGGCGGAAGTAAGGATGGAACCAGGAAGAGCCTGCAGGTCACATGTGACAGCTGGCTCCATGAGGGCCCCCGGTGATCCCTACTATATTTTTTTGAGACATAATCTCACTCTGTCGCCCAGGCTGGAGTGCAGTGGACTGATCACTGAAACCTCCGCCTCCTGGGTTCAAGTGATTCTCCTGCCTCAGCTTCCCAAGCAGCTGAGACTACAGGCTTGTGCCACCATGCCTGGCTAATTTTTGTGTTTTTAGTAGAGATGGGATTTCACCATGTTGTCCAGGCTGGTCTCCAACTCCTGACCTCAAGTGATCCACCCACCTCAGCCTCCCAAAGTGCTGGCATTACAGGTGTGAGCCACCAAGCCCAGCCAATCCGTGACTCTTGGTGTTAACTCCCTGTGTGGTCCCCTCCCACACTGAACAGGGCTGTCCTGTGTCCGATAGGATATTAGAGAAATGATGGGATGTGACTTCCAGGGAGAGGTCCTAAAACACATTGAGGCCTCCTCCTTGCTCTTGCTTGGGTTATTTGCTCTGGGGGAAGCCACAAGCCATGTCCTGAGGACACCCGAACAGCCTAGTGGAAAGTCCATGTGATGGGGAACTGAGGTCTCCTGTCAACATCCAGCATTGGGTGTCCTAGCCCCAGCCAAGCCTTCCAATGACTGTAGCCCTGGCTGAGATCTTGAGTTTAACCTCATGAGAGACCCCAGAGCCAGTGTTAGCCATAGAGCTGCTCCCAGATTCCCGACCCACAGAAACTGTCTGAGATAATAGATGTGTATTGTTTTGGGTTTTTTTCCCTCTCTCTCTTTAAATTTTTTTTTCCTTTCCTTTTCCTGTAAGTCAGGAAACAAAGATGTGTATTTATGTGTATTTATTTATTTATGTTTTTGAGACTGGGTCTTGCTCTGTCACCCAGGCTGGAGTGCAGTGGTGTGATCTAGGCTCACTGTAACCTCCACCTCCTGGGCCCAAATAATCCTCCAACTTCAGCCTCCCAAGTAGCTGGGACTGCAAGCATGTGCCACCATGCCCGGCTAATTTTTAATTTTTCTGTAGAGACATGGTTTCTCCATGTTGCCCAGGCTGATCTCGAACTCTTGACTCAAGGGATCTGCCCGCCTCAGCCTCCCAAACTACTAGGATTATAAGTGTCAGCCATTGCACTCTGCCAGATGTGTTTTTTTTTTTTTTTTTTTTTTTTTTTTTGAGATGGAGTTTTTTGTTTGTTGCCCAGGCTGGAGTGCAATGGTGTGATCTCGGCTCACTGCAACCTCCGCCTCTTGAGTTCAAGCGATTCTCTTGCTTCAGCCTTGAGTAGCTGGGATTACAGGCACCCACCACCATGCCTGGCTAATTTTTGTATTTTTTCTAGAGATGGAATTTCACCATGTTGGCTGGGCTGGTCTGGAACTCCTGACCTCAGGTGACCCACCTGCTTTGGCCTTCCAAAGTTTTGGGATTACAGGCATGAACCACTGGGCCTGGACTAGATGTATATTGTTTAAAGCACCAAATTCCAGGGCAGTTTATTATGCAGTTAATAGACTACCAATATACCATAAGAACTTGGGATTTTAGTCTAAGTATGATGGAATGCCATTTAAGTATGAAGGAATGCAGGGGAGGGTCATGACCTGACTTCTGGTGTGGGAAGACCTTCTAACGGGTGAAATCTGGATAATAGGGAGCTAGAGAAGAAGCAGGGGTCTACTTATAAGAAGCAGGAGCTATATATATAAATTTTTTATAACATGGACCGCTTCACAAATTTTCGTGTTATCCTTGCTCAGGGGCCATGCTAATCTTCTCTGTATCATTCCAACTTTAGTATATGTGCTGCAGGAGCGAGCACTACTTAGGAGCTATTAAAGTAGTACAGCAGGTGTTGATGATGGCCTGGACCCAGGTCGCAGAGTTGGAAATGACGGAAGTGGACAGATTAGGGTTGTAATTGGAGTTAGAGCCCACAGAATTTGCTGACAGTTGAATATGATAAGGGAGGCAAGGGAAGAAATCAAAGATGCCAGGTTTTGGCTGAAGCAACTGGGTATTCAGCAGTGCCATTTCCTGCCAAGGAGAGACAGCTGGGATCACAGGTGCCTGCCAGTCTTGTTCTGTTGCCTGGGCTGGAGTGTATTGGAGTTGTCATAGCTCACTGTGGCCTCCAACTCCTGGCCTCAAGCAATCTTCCTGCCTCAGCCTCTAAGAAAAAAGTATTTCTTTTTCTTTCTTTTCCTTTTTTTTTTTTTTTTTTTGAGATGGAGTTTTCCTCTTGTTGCCCAGGCTGGAGCGCAGCGACACAATCTTGGCTCACCGCAACCTCTGCCTCTGGGTTCAAGCGATTCTACTGCCTCAGCCTCCTGAGTAGCTGGGATTACAGGCATGTGTCACCCTGCCTGGCTAATTTTTTATTTTTAGTAGAGATGGGGTTTCTCCATATTGGTCAGGTTGGTCTTGCATTCCCGACCTCAGGTGATCTGCCCTGAGGCCTTGGCCTCCCAAAGTACTGGGATTACAGGCACAAACCACTGCACCTGGCCAGAAAAAAAAGTATTTCTAAAGCAGAGAAGGGTGAGCCAAAAATAGCTGTAACTTTCAGGATGCATGTCTGTTACCGTACAAGGTCCTGACCTGTCACTGACAGAGAATGCTCATCTGCACAATGTTTTACTGCGTCCCGAATATCTCCATCCTGTTTCAACCAATGTGTCTCCCTCTATAGATGAGCCCATGTTCTATTGGCCTGGGAGGAACCCAGCTACCTTCTCCCATCAGCTACCAGCTTGAACCAACTCAGTTCAGAGGACCCCAGAGGCAGCTGTGTAAATGTGGTTTAGGTTCAGCAGGGGGCTTCTTTAGCCCTTACAGATCTAGACAATGCTACTTAAACTCCCTTCGAAAGACTTATTTGAGGCCGAGCACAGTGACTCATGCCTGTAATCCCAGCAGTTTTGGAGGCAAAGGTGGGTAGATCACCTGAGGTCAGGAGTTCAAGACCAGCCTGGCCAACATGATGAAACCTATTTCTACTAAAAATACAAAAATTAGCTGGTCATGGTGGTGCGCACCTGTAATCCCAGCTACACAGGAGGTTGAGCAAGAGAATTGGTTGAACCTGGGAGGCAGAGGTTGCAGTGAGCTGAGCTCGTGACACTGCACTCCAGCCTGGGCAACAGAGTGAGACTCTGTCTCATAAAAACTAAAATGAATAAAAAATAAGAAAGACTTCTGGGGCTGGGTGTGGTGGCTCATGCCCATAATCCCAGCATTTTGGTTTGCCGAGGCAGGCGGATCACCAGAGGTCAGGAGTTTGAGACCAGCTGACCAACATGGCAAAACTCCATTTCTATTAAAAATACAAAAATCAGCCGGGCGCGGTGGCTCAAGCCTGTAATCCCAGCACTTTGGGAGGCTGAGGCGGGTGGATCACAAGGTCAAGAGATCGAGACCATCCTGGCCAACATGGTGAAACCCCGTCTCTACTAAAAATACAAAACATTAGCTGGGCATGGTGGCACGTGCCTGTAATCCTAGCTACTCAGGAGGCTGAGGCAGGAGAACTGCCTGAACCCGGGAGGCAGAGGTTGCGGTGAGCCGAGATCGCACCATTGCACTCCAGCCTGGGTAACAAGAGCAAAACTGGGTCTAAAAATAAAAAAAATAAAAAAAAATAAATCAGGCCGGGCGCGGTGGCTCACACCTGTAATCCCAGCACTTTGGGAGGCCGAGGCAGGTGGATCACGAGGTCAAGAGATCGAGACCATCCTGGTCAACATGATGAAACCCTGTCTCTACTAAAAATACAAAAAATTAGCTGGGTATGGTGGCGCATGCCTGTAATCCCAGCTACTCAGGAGGCTGAGGCAGGAGAATTGCCTGAACCCAGGAGGCGGAGGTTGCGGTGAGCCGAGATTGCGCCATTGCACTCCAGCCTGGGTAACAAGAGCAAAACTGGGTCTCAAAAAAAAAATACAAAAATCAGCTGGGCATGGTGGCAGGTACCTGTAATCCCAGCTATGCAGGAGGCTGAGGTAGGAGAATTATTTGAACCTGGGAGGCGGAGGTTGCTGTTAGCCAAGATTGCCCCATTGTATTGGGCAAACCCTGTCTCTACTAAAAAAAAAATACAAAAATTAGCCGGGCATGGTGGTACACACCTGTAATCCCAGGTACTTGAGAGGCCGAGGCAGGAGAATCACTTGAACCTGGGAAGCGGAGGTTGCAGTGAGCCAAGATCATGCCACTGCACTCTAGCCTGGGCTACAGAGCGAGACTTCGTCTCAAAGGAAAAAAAAAAAGGCTTCTTTGCAGGATGTTATGTTCTCACAGTTGCTTCTGGTTCCCATGAACTGGTTTACTTGAGGGACTCTCCCACCATCCCACGGGTCTAGTTCCTTATCTAAGAGCACAGACTGAGGTGTGAAACATACCCTTGCCACTTGTCACTAAACCAACCACTCACACAAGGTTTCTATATATTTGGAGATCTCTGTAGAACAGTTGGGAAGATGCAGGGATTTATAATGTAGAAACATGAGCAGCTTGAGATTCAGTGTCAGTGATTTTTCTCACAAAGTCCTCTGCCATTGCCACAGTTCAGGCTCCAGCTTCCTTACACAGGCTCAGCCTTCCTCTCTTCTCTTTCCTCTCTCTTCCAATTCTAAATTTTTGGTTCATTTAAAAATGCATGCTGGGTGAGCTCATGCCTGTAATCCCAGCGCTTTGGGAGGTTGAGGCAGGCAGATCACTTGAGGTCAGGAGTTTTAGACCAGCCTGGCCAACATAGCAAAACCCTGTCTCTATTAAAAATACAGAAATTAGCAGGGCATGGTGGCACATGCCTGTGATCCCAGCTACCTGGGAGACTGAGGTGGAAGGACTGCTTGAACCAGGAAGGCAGAGGTTGCAGTGGGCCAAGATTGCACCACTGTACTCCCGCCTGAGCAACACAGAGACACAATTAAAAAAAAAAAAAAAGAAAAAGCAGTCACTCCTCATTCTTCTTCCCACACCCTAGCCCCTGGCAACCATTTATGGCCAGACATGGTGGCTCTTGCCTGTAATCCCAGCACTTTGGGAGGCCATCTAAGGTCAGGAGTTCAAGACCAGCCTGGCCAAAATGATGAAACCTGTTTCTACTAAAAATACAAAAATTAGCCAGGTGTGGTAGAGAGTGCCTGTAATCTCAGCTACCTGGGAGGTTGAGGCAGGAGAATCCCTGGAAACGGGGAGGGGGAGGTTTCAGTGAGACGAGATTGTGCCACTGTACTCCAGCCTGGGCAACAGAGTGAGACGCCACCTCAAAAAATAAATAGTGCTCGCTTTGGCAGCACATATACTAAAATTGGAACGATACAGAGAAGATTAGCATGGCCCCTGAATAAAAATAAATAAATAAATAAATAAATAGGCCAGGAGCAGTGGCTCAAGCCTGTAATCCCAGCACTTTGGGAGGCTGAGGCAGGTGGATCATTTGAGGCCAGGAGTTTGAGACCAGCCTAACCAACATGGTGAAACCCCATCTCTACTAAAAATGCAAAAATTAGCTGGGTGTGGTGGTGGGTGCCTTATAGTCCCAGCTATTCCAGCTACTCGGGAGGCTGAGGCAGGAGAATCACTTGAACCCGGGAAGCAGAGGTTGCAGTGAGCCAAGATCACGCCACTGCACTCCAGCCTGAGTGACAAAGTGAGACTCCATCTCAAAAAATAAAATAAAATAAAAATAAATAAACAAACTGCAGAGCATTTGGGCTCATTTTCTGACTGCTTTGATGCATGCTGACCTGGGCTCTGCATCTCATCTTTTCTTAAAACATTTACCAGCGATTCTCCTAAACAAAGACAGTTTCCTCCCCAGGAGGAATTTTGGTGTCATCGTTAGGGCACAAATGTACATGTCAACAATCCTTCTGATAATCTGGGAAAATTAAAAAGTAGTAAGGCACTATCCATGCTCTCAAAGAGCTTAAAATTTAGTGAATGAAGTGATATTTACACCTTAAATACTAAAGAAGCCGTGCAAAAATGAGTCCAGAATGCCAGGCAGAAATGATTGGGATTGGTATTTGGGAAATGAAGTGCCAGATAAGGTTCCTGGGGTGGGAGTAGGGCTGGCTGTCTTGTCAGCTAGTGTCTGGACCACCATGGCTGGCATTGGCTTCTCATCCTCCTCTCCCCTCCCCTCCCCTGCCCTCTCCTCTCCTTACCTCTCCACTGGCTCCCTTCACCGACTCTCTGCTAGAGCGCAGTGGCATGATCTCGGGCTCACGGCAACCTCTACCTCCTGGGTTCAAGCAATTCTCCTGCCTCAGCCTCCTGAGTAGCTGAGATTACAGGCACCCACAACGAGGCCTGGCTAATTTTTTTTTTTTTTTTTTTTTTTTTTTTTTGAGATTGAGTTTCGCTCTTGTTACCCAGGCTGGAATGCAATGGCGCGATCTCGGCTCACCGCAACCTCCGCCTCCTGGGTTCAGGCAATTCTCCTGCCTCAGCCTCCTGAGTAGCTGGGATTACAGGCACACCCCGCCATGCCCAGCTAATTTTTTGTATTTTTAGTAGAGACAGGGTTTCACCAAGTTGACCAGGATGGTCTCGATCTGTTGACCTCGTGATCCACCCACCTCGGCCTCCCAAAGTGCTGGGATTACAGGCTTGAGCCACCGCGCCCGGCCCAATTTTTGTATTTTTAATGGAGAGTGGGTTTCACTATGTTGTCCAGGCTGGTCTTGAACTCCTGACCTCAGGTGATCCGCCAGCCACAGCCTCTCAAAGTGCTGGCATTACAGGTGTTAGCCACTGTGCCTGGCCTGAATAGATCTAGTCTTGCCACCCAGGTGCTGCCACTTTAGCACAGGGCCTGGGTTGCTGAGATTACTGTAAAGCCTCCTTTCTTGGCTGAACAGGGTGGCTCATGTCAATAATCCCAGCACTTTGGGAGGCTGAGACGGGAGGATGCTTGAATCCAGGAATTCAAGACCAGCCTGGTCAACATAGTGAGACCCTGTTTGTACTCATTTTAAAAATAAGACCAGGTGTGGTGGCTCATGCTTGTAATCCCAGGACTTTGGGAGACTGAGGCAGGCTGATCACCCTAACCCTGGTCAGTATGAAAGGGTTTATTCCAGGCTGATTGAACAACATTTGAAACCTGTATCTGGTTTTGTTTTTTTGTTTTTTTTTTTGAGATGGAGTTTCACTCTTGTTACCCAGGCTGGAGTGCAGTGGCGCGATCTTGGCTCACCGCAACCTCCGCCTCCTGGGTTCAGGCAATTCTCCTGCCTCAGCCTCCTGAGTAGCTGGGATTACAGGCACGCACCGCCATGCCCAGATAATTTTTTGTATTTTTAGTAGAGACAGGGTTTCACCATGTTGACCAGGATGGTCTCGACCTCTTGACCTCGTGATCCACCCGCCTCAGCCTCCCAAAGTGCTGGGATTACAGGCGTGAGCCACCGCGCCCGGCCTTTTTTTCTTTTTTTTTGAGACAGTCTCCCTCTGTCCCCCAGGCTGGAGTGTGGTGGCGTGATCCCGGCTCACTGCAACCTCTGCCTCCTGGGTTCAAGTGATTCTCCTGCCTCACCCTCCTGAGTAGCTAGGACTACAGGTGCATATCACCACACCCAGCTAATTTTTTTTTTTTTTTTTTTTAGACGGAGTTTCGCTCTTGTTACCCAGGCTGGAGTGCAATGGCGCGATCTCGGCTCACCGCAACCTCCGCCTCCTGGGCTCAGGCAATTCTCCTGCCTCAGCCTCCTGAGTAGCTGGGATTACAGGCACGCGCCACCATGCCCAGCTAATTTTTTGTATTTTTAGTAGAGACGGGGTTTCACCATGTTGACCAGGATGGTCTCGATCTCTTGACCTCGTGATCCACCCGCCTCGGCCTCCCAAAATGCTGGGATTACAGGCTTGAGCCACCGCGCCCGGCTGTTTGTATTTTTTTTTTTAGTAGAGACAGGGTTTCACCATGTTGGCCAGGCTGGTCTCGAATGCCTGACCTCATGTTCCACCGGTCTCAGCCTGCCAAAGTGCTGGGATTACAGGCATGAGCTACCCCACCCCGCCGAAACCTGTATCTTAATACCATGTGACAATGAAGTTTTCAGCTGTATCTTGTAAATATTCCACGGGGTCACAGAAGGAAGGAAACAGTAATTCTCTGTTTACTGTAACAGCTGAGCTGAAGTCACTGGGTGTTAATACACTGGCTGGTGTAACCAAGACGTGTCACTGAAGGGGTTCACTTACTGATTCATTAGCTACATGACAGAGGAGTGTCACATGGTCCAGTCTGTCTAATATTGAAGGTCTTCTCCACCTTTTCCTGCTCCTGCTTCCTCTCTTCTCTTTTCCTTCTCTTTCCTCTTGATACTTCCACTTCCTCCTCCTTTTGTTTTAATGAGAAAGGAAACAATGAATATTTACATGGCTAGGGGAAAAGAGTCAATAGAAAGGAAGTGTCTAAAAATACTGGCCAGGGCCGGGGCTCACACCTATAATCCCAGCACTTTGGGAGGCTGAGATGAGCTGATCCCCAGAGGTTAAGAGTTCAAGACCAGCCTGACCAGCATGGTGAAACCCCGTCTCTACTAAAAATACAAAACTAGCTGCGTGTGTTGGCACATGCCTGTAATCCCTGCTACTCAGGAGGCTGAAGCAGGAGAATGGCTTGAACCTGGAAGGCGGAGTTTCTCGTGAGCAGAGATCGCGCCATTGCACTCCAGCCTGGACAATAAGAGTGAAACTCCATCCCCTCATCAAAAAAAAAAAAAAAAAAAAAAAATTAGCTGAGTGTGGTGGCACGTGCCTGTAGTTCCAGATTCTTGGGAGGTTGAGGCAGGAGAATCGCTTGAACCTGGGAGGCAGAGGTTGCAGTGAGCTGAAATCACGCCACTGCACTCCAGCCTGGAGACAGAGCAAGACTCCATCTCAAAATAAATAAATAAATAAATAAATAAATAAATAAATAAATAAATAGCTAGAGTCAGGATCATGGAGGACTCACATACAAAGAACCATGTGTTAGCATCCAAAAATAACTGCAAAGCAACTTCAAATCTCATTGTAGTCTCTTGAGAAAAATGTCAAAGGGGGAATTACATAAATTATTTATGAGAAACTTCCTTAAAGTCATATTGTTCACTTCTCTTTCCCTTTCCCTTGTCTTGTTTGCAAAGGAGGAGACCCTTTTTTTTTTTTTTTTTGAGATGGAGTCTCACTCTGTTGCCTAGGCTGGAGTGCAATGGTGTGATTCTCTTGTGTCAGCCTCCTGCGTAGCTGGGATTACAGATGCATGCCACCATGCCTGGCTAATTTTTGTATTTTTAGTAGAGATGGGGTTTCATCATGTTGGTCAGGCTGGTCTTAAACTCCTGACCTTGTGAACTGCCCACCTTGGCCTCCCAAAATGCTGGGATTACAGGCATGAGTCACTGTGCCTGACCAACTGTTTTTACCTGTTAGGTTATCGAATTGTTGTATAGCATCAGAGCAATAGGGGAAACAGATTTCACCCATTTGGCCAAAGTATTTCTCACTCTGCCCTAAAGCCTTTCTTTTCCCTCCCTCCAAACTTTCTCCAGCTCTTCCCTAATCCATACCATCCTGGTTCTTCTCTCTTCACTCTTCTCTCTGCCCCCTTTCACTAATTAATTAATTAATTAATTAATTAGTTGTGAGATGAAGTCTCCCTCTATGGCTCAGGCTGGAGTGCAATGGCGCTATCTCAGCTCACTGCAATCTCACAAGCAATTCTCCTGCCTTAACCTCCTGAGTAGTTGGGATTACAGGAGCCCACCACCATGCCTGGCTAATTTTTGTATTTTTAGTAGTGATGGGATTTTACCATGTTGGCCTGGCTGGTCTCAAATTCCTGACCTCAGTGATCCACCCGCCACGGCCTCCTGAAGTGCTGGGATGATAGGAGTGAGTCACTGTGCCCGGCTTCTCTGCCCTCTTTTTTTTTTTTGAGACGGAGTTTCGCCCTTGTTACCCAGGCTGGAGTGCAATGGCGCGATCTCGGCTCACCGCAACCTCCGCCTCCTGGGCTCAGGCAATTCTCCTGCCTCAGCCTCCTGAGTAGCTGGGATTACAGGCACGTGCCACCATGCCCAGCTAATTTTTTGCACTTTTAGTAGAGACGGGGTTTCACCATGTTGACCAGGATGGTCTCGATCTCTCGACCTCGTGATCCACCCGCCTCGGCCTCCCAAAGTGCTGGGATTACAGGCTTGAGCCATCGCGCCCGGCTCTCTGCCCTCTTTTAAAACACATCTTCTCTCATCTGCTGGTAACTGCCCATGCCATCTAAAATAAGTCAAATTACCCCAGTCTCAGCCTTTCTCAATCCTACCTTTCACCTATTATTCTGATACTGTGCAATGATCTGGGAGCATCACAGATCTAACAGAATCCTCCTTAGC